CCTCCCGGGTTCAAGCAATTCTCCTGCCTCAGCCTCCTGAGTAGCTGGGACTACAGGTGCGTGCCACCATGCCCAGCTAGTTTTTGTATTTTTAGTAGAGACGGGGTTTCACCATGTTGACCAGGATGGTCTTGATCTCTTGACCTCGTGATCCGCCCGCCTCAGCCTCCCAAAGTGCTGGGATTACAGACTTGAGCCACCGCGCCCGGCTGTTTTCCCTTTTAATGCCCAAATTGTCACTACCTGGCCAGCGCGAGCCCCCTTTTGCACTTTTTGACGGTATTCCAGGTATCTCTTAAAGCAGCCTTGCTTTCTGGGAACAGCAAGCTTTTCTCGTGCTATTTTAAATTCGCTTGCTTTGAGACGTGGTATTGTCTACTTTCAAATGAGCTCTGGTTCCTTTTCATGAAGACTTCTATTAAAGACCAGAATCTAAGTTCTGTGGGTGTCCTTATATTGTCATCCAAGGGTATTGGTGATAGACACAATGATACCACGGGAAACGTTCTTAAACTGCAGTAATGAATAATTGTGTAGGACTAACGAACTGTTCAACACTGACTGAACAGCACTTCTCCCTTCCTCCTTCCCTCTTTCCTTCCCTCTTCCTCTCCCTTCGTTTCCACATATTCCAGACATAAGCATGTGGACTCTAGGGCCAGGCTACCTGGGGTTGAATCCAACTGACCCACCTAGGACCTTTGCAATCTTGGCCAAGTTTCTTGATTTTACTGTGCCCCATTTTCATTTCATATGCATAATGCAGACAATTATTGTGTCTTGTGTGAAAGTCATCATCTGTCATATAATAAATGTTCAATAAATATCCACTATCATTCGTTTTATTAAGGGACAAAAGTTTATTGCAGGTGTTTGCAGTTTCCTTTAAGTTTCATCTTTGCTCCAAAATCAGGAAGAACTTATTATAATTTTTCACCTTTTTCTTAAACTATGAATTTTTCCCTTTATCTATATTAACTTTCATCAATTTTCCTTTATACTGACAAACCCAACTATGTTTTCAAATTACCCCATTGCTCCCAAATTTAGAAGACCCCATTTGGCTCTGGCTCTTATTTGGTATCTGAGCACTTTTCTGACTGCCTGAAAAAAAAGAAGAAAGTAGTCTTATTCTTGCTACCCCAGAGGAACTACAAATGTAAAATCCTAGAGCCCCTGATACTACAAATGAATTTCCAATGCACTAAATGAAAAATAGCAATGAAAAGTAGAATAAAAACTAAAACTGTGTCTAGAGCCT